AACAAGTGATTGCAAGACCATGGCCTGTATCAGATGCACCTTAGTCTCCAGAGAGACACCATTGCTCTTCAGTACTTTGGAGAGGTTCCTAACAGCAGACTTTCCCATGGCAATATGCCTTTTAATTTCATGGCTACTGGTGTCAAGAGTGTTGACTGTGGAACCAAGCAAACTAAAGCTGTGAACAATCTCAATCTCTTCACCATCCATTCTGATGCTGCCAACTGGCCCAGTGATGGGAATCTTTGTCTTCTTGACATTGAGCCTCAATCCATATTGGAAGCTGCAGTACTTGACCCTCTGCAGCAAGTGCTTCAGGTCCTCTTCAGTTTCAGCAAGCAGGGTTGTGTCATCTGCATAACGCAGATTGTTCATAGATTTCCACCAATCTTGACCCCCACATTTCTCCTCATAGAGCCCAGCCTCCTGGATAATCTTTTCTGCATATAGGTTGAAAAGGTATGGAGATAGGCTGCATCCCTGGCGTACGCCCTTCCCAATGTTGAACCATGCAATGTTCCCATGCTCTGTTCTGACAACAGCCTCCTGGTCCAAGTATAGGTTTCGCATTAGAACGATCAAGTGTTCTGGGATTCCCATTCTTCTGAGCGTCAGCCATAGTTTGTTATGATCTACACAGTTAAATGCCTTTGCATAGTCAATGAAACACAGATAGACATTCCTCTGGTATTCCCTGCTTTCAACTGAGATCCATCTAACATCAGCTACAATATCCTTAGTACCACAACCACTTCTACGCCCAGCCTGGATTTCTGGCAGTAATTTTTATTTGATTAACAGTTAGCGTGGGCTGTTTGTTTTTTTTTTATTTAATTAACAGTCAGGTAAGGGATGTTTAGTCTTTTATTTAATTAACAATCAGTGTGGGCAGGGAGCCTCTTGTTTTAACCAATTAGGTCCATGGGTGGGCCTTTGTGATTAAATGTTGGTTGGACCTTCAGTCGTGGTGTGAAAATGGATTTGCTGTTAGTGTTAAAAACGAAATTGTCAGTTTGTTGTGTGGGGAGAAGATAATTTTGATTGGTACAGAACTTGTCTGACAGATTGCTGTACTGAGATAAATTGTTGCTGTGATACTGAAAATTATGCCACTGGTGTGTCAAAAGCCACAGGGTTACCTATGGTGGACAGCTTTTAGATAGACTAGGAAGCAAGATTGGCCATCTATTTCTTAAAGGCATTTGAAAACCCTATGAACAGTATGAAGAAGGTTTGATTAGGTGATTATGAACAGTGTAACATTTTCAACTATTTATCTTTTTCTAGAAATAAAATTTCACCTGTATATGACTTTTAGACCCACTCAAATGTAAGAATACACATTTCTAAATATTTGCATATGCAAACTTACTTTAAGCAATATTTAAATGCAAGAAATAATTCACGCAATAGGGGGAAGACGAAAGACAAATTTTAACAAGGAAACACTCGTGGTGATGATTAAAAAGCAAAATGTGATCTCACCGTTCTGAATACCCACTCTCTCGGGCAAACCTCTGAAATGCACCCATGGGATCTGAGCCAGTGCTTAAGATGAATATCAGCGGAGTATTGAAGGACATGTCTTGATACAGAGTGGCCAGGTCCACAGGTGGCGTTTCTATAAACCGTTTTCCAAGATTTTCTATCACAAAGTCAGTAAGAGCAAAAACAACCTGCAAATTAAAAAAGATAAACATTAAGACAAAACCATAGATGAAGATCATTTATAATTGTTTTCCAATTCTCACTCCTTCACTTCTTTTTTTATATATTTTTTTTATTGGGAAAAACATATTGGGGGTACAAGGAGGTGAGGGTTGGGGGCAGAAGGGTGAGGATGGGCCAGGATGCAGTTGCAGAGC